TCTAATATTTCTATTATTTTCTACATAGATTTTTCTAACCTGTCTATACATGGATTTCTAATCCACATATAATTATTCTCCACCTTATAATAATTATGTATGCTTACACAGATAGCTGCATGTTTTTCTAAAATGGCTAACCACTCTCCCAGTTCCTCTTTTGATTTGAAATACCACTTTTTCACTTACTGGGTTGTATTGTATAAATTGTCATAACTGTTCCTATGCCTACCACTCTCCCAGTTCCTCTTTTGATTTGAAATATCACTTATTTTTCACTTACTGGTTTGTATTTTTTAAATTGTCATACTTAAGTGTTTTTCTTTTCCTATGCCAACACCACACTGCTTTGATTTCTATGTTTATATCCGATCCTCTTCCTCCTCTCTTGTATACCTAATGTTAACCGGCTTTCTTTTCAATTAACTATTTTAAATGTGTTTTCCTGTTTAAGCAACTGACAAGACATAAGCTAGTCAATGCCTCGAGCACAAAGTTGAAAGGGGAACTTACTCTGACATGCGACGCCTTTCCAAGTTCCTGACCCTCTTTTACGCGATCGCTCAAATCGCGTTGCATCCTTCGCGAGAGTGTTGTTTTGATCAGCCAGTGTTTGTGATTTCTGGAGGAACAGGAATCTCGAACGACTTCATAGACCTTGTCCGTTTTGCCAGCGTGGCGTCTGGCACGCTCCTCCCACGATTTGTTTTCCCGAGAAAAGATGTTTAAGGGCTAAGAGGGCAACCTGTAGGGCCTGGCGACCAAAAGCCAAGAAAAGTGAACGTTTCAAGAAGAGCATCGTCAGCTGCTAGGAGAGCAAGAAAGATTTGGTCTGAAAGGTGTCAATGGGATGAGTATTGTCAGGAGGATGAGCTGCATCTTACGTAGCCATCCCTTCTCTGCTGACCCCATTGCCCTCACCCTGCTTGGGCCTCTGTTAAGAAGATCCCTCTGACTGTGTGTCTGTGCTAGTTACGTAGCCATCCCTTCTCTGCTGACCCCATTGTCCTCACCCTGCTTGGGCCTCTGTAAAGAAGATCCTTCTGACTGTGTGTCTGTGCTAGTGTCTCTCTCTCTCTCTTTTTTTAAAATATATTTTATTGATTTTTTTTTATTTTATTGATTTTTTACAGAGAGGAAGGGAGAGAGATAGAGAGTCAGAAACATTGATGAGAGAGAAACATCGATCAGCCACCTCCTGCACACCCCCCACTGGGGATGTGCCCGTAACCCAGGTACATGCCCTTGACCGGAATCGAACCTGGGACCCTTCAGTCTGCAGGCTGACGCTCTATCCACTGAGCCAAACCGGTCCCGGCTAGGGTCTCTCTTTGCTGGTCACCTGTGTCATTAGGTCTTTGCTGATCTCTTTCTCAAATGGAAAAAATATCTTCTTTCCAGCTTCAGTTAAAGTTGAATCTTAAACTACATTTTCTCCTCCAATTGTGTCGTCCGTGTAAACTTCAGTATAAGTTGCCATTGAAATTTGTCCTCTAAGTAGAAAAATTTGGACTAGTATACATACCCTGAAGCGATGCCCATACTGGCACTTACATTGGATCTCATTTTAATATTCTCCACCAGAACCAGAGGATGACAATGTGATTAGACACATCCTCAGGCTGAGAGGAAAGCTTGGGTGGCAGACAAAATTACCGCACTGTAAGTTGGATTACAGGAATCCCGAAACTACAGTTCAGAAGATTACTGTAAAGGTATTATTTTATCCAACTGTGTACTATAAAAGTTAATGTTTGAAACTGTATCTTAATCTTGATATCGTTCATTATACTACACTAGAGGCCCAGTGCACGAAGTTCGTGCATTGGTAGGGTCCCTGGCGGCTGGGCCTTCCTCCCTTTCCCCCGCTGGTCCCACCCCCTGGTCGAACTCCCGGACAACTCCCGGTCGAGGGGACAATTTGCATGCTTTGCTTTTATTATATAGGATTAGAATCCTTACTATATTAATATCAAGTCATAACCTCATTTCACGGTGAATGCTTATAAAAAGTATTTGGCATCACTTCATTTAGCTTATTTAAAGAATGGAACGGGTAAGAAAATCAATCTGCCTGAAATTGGAATGTACTCTTAACTTCATGTTTATCAGCGTTTTGTGGTTTTAAAAAGAAACCCTGGTGGAAAGCTGGATGCGAAATTCAAAATTCCAGCCATTGGAGGCTGTTTAAGCAGTTCAGCAGCCTCTGAAGGCATCCTTCACTGAATTAGAATAAGGAACACTAAGAGCTCTTTTATAATAAAAGTTAATTATCCAGAAAAGGCTAAAGGAAACTTTCTTAATTTAAATTTTTATTGTTTAAAGTATTACATATGTCTCCTTTTCCCCCCATTGACTTCTCCCTGGCCCTTCCCACCCCACATAGATGAAACTTTCTTATAGAGTTTTATCAATAAAAGTTAGAAGTTTCAAAGCTAAAGTAAATAAATTTGACTTAAAAACTTTCTTAGCGGGGAATGTCTGATTTCTCAGGCCCTCAAGTGAACGGGGGAGAGACACGGGAGTACATTGCAATAGCTCAGAACGTGGGCTCAGGCTCAGCCTTGTATTCCAGTGCCTACCTTGCCACTCTCTGGCTTTGTGACTTTTCTCCAATTACCTACATTCCCAACATAGTAATTTATACATCTGTTTACTGAGATTAAAAAGATCAATTTAAGAGATTAAAGTTAAGACGTTAAAAACTCTGTAGAGATACGTATGCAGAACACTTGTTACTCATTAACTATTTATTGCTTGACAAATATTAGCTGTTAATTATACTAAACCACCATCATTATCAAAAGAAATGATAAATTTTATATGCCCAAAAGGCTCCTGGTGTTGGCAGACAGATTTCCTGGAAGTGTATGAGCTCTTTGGGTTAAGAAGCATGCATGTCCCTGGCTGGTTTGACTCAGTGGATAGAGCATCGGCCTGGGGACTGAAGGTTCCCAAGTTTGATTCTGGTCAAGGGCACATGTCCAGGGTGCCGGCTCAATCCCCAGTAGGGGGCGTGCAGGAGGCAGCCGATCAATGATTATCTCTCATCGTTGATGTTTCTATCTCTCTCTCTCCTTTACTCTCGTAAATCAATAAAAATATATTTTAAAAAAGCATGCACGAGTAAGCATACAGATCAATTTTCATGATTTTTTTTTACCACATTATATATACGAATGAAAATTAAATCTTAAGATTGATCTTGTTGAACTCTGATTAGACACAATTTGATGTTAGCTTTTCTCACAATATTATTTTTAATCTGTATTGACATTTCAGTTTACTGAGTAATGGGTTCAGCCATTTTACTACTTAATCTGGTCAAGTTAATGAAAAAAACTTTTTTTGACCTCAGAAACCTTTGGAAGATGATGGCGAATTTGTATATTGCCTTCCTCGGAAAGACCCTAACGTCTTTTGTAATCCATACAATCTTCAGGTGGTCTCTGCCCACAAAGCTAGAAATTGCAAAGAATTTTGGACTATTACTGCTTCATTCGTTTCAAAGGTAATATATAACGAAAGAAAATCAAGTTTGGCTATAGATAAGGCGGTGGGGGGTCAGAGAGAGAAAATGCTTAAATATATAGACAAGTGGTTCTGGGCCAAATATAGGCTTTCTTCATTTCTTGAAGATAGTTCATATATTTTAAAGAAATAAAGTCCTTCATGCCTTCTCTCTGCAGGTTACCAAAATAGGTGTCGTGGAAGATGTAGAACTCATACCTACTCTGGAATGGCTAATAGAAAGGAGATGCTTCTACATATTACAAAAATTCAAGATCGTTTCTAATTTTCGGTGAGATGAATGAAGCGGAACCCATTTGTTTGTAATGTGATCCTTTTGAAACAGTAATCTGCTGGATGATGTCTGGGTTTTGCTATAGTAAAGCCATATTTATGGGGAATTATAGAGGAAATGGGGAAGTCTGTACATTTTATTTATTTTTTTTAGATAAAGGAAGCTTACCCACTTAAGTATTACAACTCTTAATAATTTTATCTTTTTGGATGAATATTTTAAGAAAAAGGTATTTTAAAGTCAAGTAACCTGAATGGACTATAATGACCTTAATTTACTTTTTGTTTTTCATCCTTTTATTTATTAAATGAATATTAATTGAGTCTGCTACAAACCAGGCATTATTCTAGATGCTGTTGAACAAACCAAAAAATTGCCCAGCTCTCAGAGGTCTTAAATTATAATGGGTGACAGATAATGAAAGCACACATATATGCAAAATGTCAGATGAAGATGAAATACTATCCTTTATAATAAAAGGGTAATATGCAAATTGACCCTAATGATGGGACCACCGGGAACAACTGGTTGCTATGACGTGTACTGACCACCAGGGGGAAGACGCTCCTCAGGAGCTGCCCCCTGGCAAAAGGGTAATATGCAAATTGACCCTAATGATGGGACCACCGGGAACAACTGGTTGCTATGACGTGTACTGACCACCAGGGGGAAGACGCTCCTCAGGAGCTGCCCCCTGGCGGTCACTGTGCTTCCACAGGGGGAGCTCCGCTCAGCCACAAGCTGGGCTGATGGCTGTGAGCACAGTGGCGGTGGCGGGAGCCTCTCCCACCTCCTCGGCAGCGCTAAGGATGTCCAACTGCGGCCTACAGGGATCCGGCCTCAGCCATCAGTCGAACATCCCCTGAGGGCTCTCAGGCTGCCAGAGGGATGTCTGACTGTCAGCTTAGGCCTGCTCCCCAGGTGGACATTTCCTGAGGGGTCCCAGACTGCAAGAGGGCACAGGCCGGGCTGAGTGAGGGACCCTCCCTCCCTCTGCAAGTGTATGAATTTTCGTGCACTGGACATCTAGTCTATATATATAAAAGCCTAAGTGACTGTTCGACCGGTAGCTATGATGCGCACTGACCACCAGGAGGCAGACACTCAATGCACAGGTACAAAAACATGGAACAGACTGATGAATCTCAGAGAGAATGGGGGAGGGGGAAGGGTGGGAAGAGATTAACCAAAGATTAAATATGCATATTAGAGGCCTGGTGCATACTAGAGGATTCATGCACCGGTGGGGTCCCTCGACCTGGCCTGCGCCCTCTCACAATCTGGGACCCCTCGGGGGATGTCAGACTGCCAGTTTCAGCCCGATCCCCGCAGGCCAGGCCAAGGGACCCCACTGGTGCACGAATCTGTGCACTGAGCCTCTAATGAAAAAAATAAAACAGCATTCAGGAGCTTGGCAGCTAGTTTTTTATTACAGTGATTGCGGTGACATTGGTTGACATGATCACATAGGTTTCAGGTGTGTGCTTCCATGTTACAAGATCTGTATGTTGCACCATGTGCCCACCACCCAAAGCAGCTGACTGTTTCAGACCATCATTTAAAAATGTGTCTAGTTCGAAGTTTCTACCACATCAGGATTCCTGACACTCTGTGATCCTTCACAACGGAGTCCCAGACGGCTGTTCTTCCAGGATTTGTATCTTGTTTTGTACTTTTTAAATGTCCTCTCTAATGTGTGTCTTTTCTTGTGGTCTGCTGCTATCTGCTGGGGACTAGGAAAAGAGAGAAATAACATTCTATTTATCTTTTCTTTCTTTTTTTTGTGGGTTCAAGGGTGAGAGTGAGGACTGGGAGGAGGTGGCAGAGGTCAAAGGAGGAATGAGAATGTGTCAAGAAATAACATTTTAAATGATTACATTTTAATATTGTGAAAATAGTTGGAATAACTAAGGAGCTAGAGAACTTTCTGTAAGACAAGTGAATGGGTTTTGTGGCAGAGAAAGCGTTCACTTACTGAAGAGATACTTCTTGTGCCTGTTGTGTTCCACTGTTATGAGCCCTGGAGGTGCAACCATGTGAAAAACATACGAGGACTCTGTCCCTGGAGAAGTTCTAGTCTCTGGAGGGAGATAGATAACAAGTAAATCAGTGAGCTAATTGCAGGTAGTGAGAAGGGCCAGAAAGATATGGAAGACGGAGAAAACAGGTGTGTGTGTGTGTGTGTGTATGTGTGACTGACTGTTGTAAATAGATGGCTGATGAAAAGGGACACAAGTGAAGTCTTGAAAGAGAAAAGTTCCAGACAGAATACAGCGAGCAAGTTTAATAAGGGTGAGGAATGGTCACCAGAGGAACCTTTTAGTTCCTCCCCTTTGAGTTTCAAATATTACAAATGCGCCTTTTTAAGAAAGCATGCGTATTCAATATTATCAAAAGGACATCCATTGTCTTACATGTTTACTTACTGCAATACAGTGATTTCTTATCAATGTACCTTTTCATTTCATTGTCACTTGAAAATAGAATCTTGACTCCCCTTGTAATATAAGTCTCTTTTAAAAATAGCCAGTAAATGTTTAAGGGGAAAGAATATATTTTTGTTATTTTTCTGTTTATTGGAGTGTTGCAACTAAATCGCTCAGGCATCTGTGAGGATTATAATGACTGTCATTTACATTTACACCTTGTTCTCTATGCTGTTGATTGTTTGGGAGAAAGTGATACGGTTTAGTATTTGCTTCAGGTGAGTCAGGATGGATGAGGTGCCCTAGAGAATTTTCTGGTTTTGCCAAGCCTTTACCGAATTGATGTAATTGTGACTGATGAATATAGGCTGTAAGAAGTCTATTTCTTTTTCAGAATGAATAAAGCATTTGTTACTTGGAAATTGACGGTTAGAAGAATTAAGACAGACAGAAGCAGGTAAGTCTTGATAGAAATCTCAAGAGGAAGCCTTATTTTTAAATATTGTAGTATGGAAGCAGACAGAAATTAATATTCACTCGGTGATTAGAAAGTCACATTCCACAACATGTATGATTCAGTTGAATCCATCTGCATTTGAATATTTTTGTTAAACCTAATGTTATGTATGTGTTTATAAAAATAGCGTAGGTGTGTGTGTGTGTGTGTGTGTGTGTGTGTATGTGTACACGTGTACACCATGCTGTGCTGTAAGGGAATCAGAGTGTCAATAAAATATATATTTTTTAAAAAAGAGCCTAGGACGAGATTCCCTTGGTCACTCGATCTCACTTTTCGCTTTCAAAAAGAGGAGTGATTCAGTAATCCAAGGTAGAGGACAGTGATTTCTATTTTGTAGGCTATCTGACAGCCAAGTTTCATTGCTGTCATTGTGACTAAACTTCTTACTTGGAGGTTGTTGTGATGGAAATGCAGTTGCAAGAAATGATGCAGAGGGACCCCATGCCCAAAAAGAGGAGTGATTCAGTAATCCAAGGTAGATGGCAGTGAATTCTATTTTGTAGGCTATCTGATAGCCAAGTTTCATTGCTGTCGTTGTTACTAAACTTCTTACTTGGAGATTGTTGTGATGGAAATGCAGTTGCAAGAAATGATGCAGTTTCCCCCAGTTTCCCCCAGTGGGAACATCTTGCAAATCTGTGGTAAAATACGACAACCAGGAGAGTGTGGTAGATGTAATACCTGTTAACTGTAGGCATATGAAACAAATTATACTAGTT